TGCAGACCAGGGGGAGGGGGGGGGCAAAGCAGAGCCAAGCCTCGGAGCGCGTGGGCAGCGGACAGCCCTGTCCGCTGCCCACGTGTTCCGCCACTTTGCTTCCTCTCCCTGGTCTGCTGGAGACCAGGGAGAGGAACAGCCCCGTTCGTAACTGCGGATCCGACATAAGTCGGATCCGCGTAACTCGGGGACTGCCTGTATTCCAATAGATAACCATCAAGTATTAGTCGTTTTGAACCACTGCCAATCTGGTGTCAGGGTGCACATCAGCAACTGAGAGATATTTTGTTAACAACCCCATGAACCAATCACTCTCCTGCTTTCTGTTCACTTAAAAGCATAGCACCTAACCCTGAAGCCTTTACTTAGGCAAATTTTCCATTGATTCAGTGAAGTCAAAAGGGCTTTTGAGTAAGAGCTTTCCCTAGAGCTATTTTTTGGTTCAGTGGCTGAACTAAAAAAATCTGGGTTGAAAATTGGTACATTTCAAACCAATTCCCTCTTCAACTTTCAGACTGAATGAAATGCTTCAAATGTCATTTTGAATTGATGTTTCATTTTGAAAATGTCACTGAAGTGAAATGTTGAAATTATGTTTTTTTAAATGTTAGACAGATATATTTCAACATTTCTACACAATAATCCATTCTTTTTCAGTGGAAATTATTTGCCAAATTTGTCCTAGATTTGTGAATAGTTTTGATGGTCCCCCAAAATGTATTTTGGGTCAAATTTACTATTTAAAGAAAAATGTTGCATAGTTCTAGCCCTCATTAAGTATCACTGTTAAGGCCATTTTCCTAGAAATTGACAAAAATGCTAATCGAGAAAATAAGACAGTTTAACTACGCTGATTTGAAGTGACTGCCTAAAAACACTCTATTATCCTTGTAGTAAGTTTAAGCAGACCTAAAAATGTTATAGTTTACTGTAATATTAATATTAACAACTCATAATAATAAAAAATGTTGGTTCATGTTTTTCTTTAAGGCTTATTACAAAGCAGACTGGAAAAAAACACTTGCCAAAGGGTATGATCTGAAACCAGATTCCATCTCTGTAATTGCTGCTAAAGCTTCCCAAAACATTGCCAGTGCTGTAAGTATAATTTGGATAGAAATTGGAAGTTCTACTTTATTGTAGCTTTCTGCAGCATATAATGCTATCGTCTGAACCAGTGGTGAGCAACCTGCTGCCTGTGGGCTGCATGCAGCCCATCAGGATTCAATGTGTAGCCCATGAGACATTTTGTTTACTGTTGCCCATGTACAGAGTTGCCAGATTTGGCTGGTTTCCATTTGCATAGTTTTTACTCAAGTGACATGCGTGTAAAGAAAAAGCACATAAAGTGAGGTGTGTGCTGAGTCCACACACACAGCGTGGGCTGAGAGAGTCCAAAGCATTGCTATGATTCAGTTGGCACACTCCACAAATTCTACGTATGCAAGTGCAATTAGCAAACCTGTCCTATCTGGAAAGACCATCTTGGTTATGACAATCTTGTGGCCCACTGTTGTGGAGGAGGGCCACTCATGCAGCCTACTCAGTAGCCTAGGTTGCCCATCACAGGTCTGACCACTTTTGTGATACTACACAATTATTAACTGATATGGATTTCCATAGAGACTTCAGAAAAAGCCTGAATACAGTCATCTTGATGATCTGAACCCTGGTTAGCTGGATGTCTTGGTGTATTAATATGCATGACCAAAGGACTGAATGAAGTGCTGGTCCTGCCAAATTCCTTCTTCTTATATAGTTTAGTTGTGCAGTGTTGCTAAGAAATGTAATTCCAGTCCTGCGTCACTCCTTAACTCCTCAGGAATCATTTTAATTTAAATGGAGTATGTGGGCCCAAAGAATTTAAGTGGTTAACAGGACCTTTACACTGATCAATAGTAAAGACTTTTAACAAGGTTTGGTACACAGAGACTTCAGCTTGCATAGTACCATGGCAAGAACAACATTAAAAATTGCATTAACCCTTTATTAAAGAATCTTAAAAGACAGAAGGAAAAACAATGCAAGTATTTGAAATGTAAAGTAATAAGTAAGGCTTTAATTTTAACAATATTTCTTGTTTCCTTTGGCTGTAGATAGCTTTTGGAAGGGGAAAAAAACCTTGTCTAAGAGTTTCTTAGATGGTAATAAAGACAACAGTAACTGTCCTTTGGGGAGAAAAAATATAGTTGAGAAGGGCTGGAGCAGTCGTTCTTTAAAGTCTGATCCCATTTCCTAGAAAACAAAATCGGACAACACATATGGGTAAAGAAGGGAAGGAAAGATAGAAAATACAGCTTCTGTGTCTGACTTCCTCACTGATGAAAAACACAGGAACGTCAGCCCCTCTGAGCCCTGGCAAACTTATACCAGCATCAGGAATTTAGGAATTGCTGTTAAAAACTCCTTTTTGGTCACAGGTTTTCAAAAGTATTGCAGAATATGTAGTTTTGGATGTCTAAGCTGGATTCTGATTACACAGAGGGAGAGGGATCAGAAAGAGAAGCAATAAAGGGTACATTTAAACCAAGGATGGGCAAGATACAGCCCACAGGCCAGGTGTGGCACACCAAGCCTTTAAATCCTGCCTGTGTTCTGCCCAGCCTGGACTGTCAGGCCCAGAGCAGCCCTAAGCTGCTCAGAACAACTGGCTGCTCCATGTACCTCTCTGCTCTGCATACTGGGGAGCAGGGGAGGCTTTATGTGCTGCCACTGCCAATGCCAATGGGAGTGGAGAGAATGTGCTGGGGGAGGGCACATGGGAACGTGCTGGCGAGCGTCCCACCTCCCCTGGAGCATGGCACGAAGGCACATGGAGCAGCCAGCCGCTTTCAGTAGCCTGGGGCTTTGGCGGGCAGGGAGCCTGCCTGAGGATCCCGCTGGACTGCAGGCCAGGAGCTGCCTAGTTAAGTGCCTCCCAGCCAGAGCCTGCCTCTGCCCTCTCCACACACCCCATCTCCCTGCCCCAGGTCACCACCCAAACCCTCTGCACTCCCCTCCCCCGCTCCAGGACACTACTTCCTCCCAAAGCCTGCACTCCCTCCTGCACCCATTCCTTAGGCCAGAATCTTCTCCTGAACCCATAACCCTTCCTGGACCCTGCACCCCAATCCTCTGCCCCAAGCTCCCTTCTGCACCCAGCCCTCTGTCCCAGACCCTGCAACCCCTCAATAGACATGTGTGGTCCTTGACCACTTATCAAAATCTTGAAGCAGGCCCCCCTCAAAAATTATTGTCCACCCGATTTATACCATGTGATGCAGTAGGCAGTAGTGGGTCTTGGAGTAGCAGTGTAGATGTGGCCGGACTGGAGCTTCAGCTCAGAAGCTCACCCTCCTTCAAGGCTCCTGAGCCTATGCTCCAACCTGTGGTGGCACCGCTATATTAGTGCCATCATGAGCCCCACAAGAGCTAGCCTATCAACTCAGGCTCTGAGACTTGCTGCTGTGGACTGTATAAAAGAACCTGAAGTGGGGAAGGAAAAGAATACACCGGAGGGAGTGTATGCATGTGATGCGATCTCACATCCCAGGTAGTGGCTAGGATTCAGCTGGAGCTGGTATATGTGGCAATATCATCTGGGTTCCTCTCTGGCCTAGTCAGGCCAGGACATCCTTTGGGATTAGGATGAAGTGCTGGGGCCCCAGCCGACAGTGGAGATGGCATCCACAACAGTGAAGCTTGCTCCAGAAGCAATTGGCAGAATGCTATTTTTTCTGCTAAAGATTCCTCAACACTTTTCTTTTAAGACCCTCAGGATGGAGTACTGGTTGGGAGTAGTCCATCCTCTCCTTATTTTGTCCACCAATAAACCTAATTTCTGTTAAACCAATTGTGAATAGTTGATTTCTGGCCCTCTTCTCCTCTTGTTAACCCACCGTAATCTTAATATAGACCTTGAGCTGTATCAATAAAATACTTTTTATTTAAATGAATTCAGTTTTTCTGAAACTGGAAAAATATGATTTCAGGCTGACTGGAAAAATATGATTTTCATAACTTTCAGCAAATAGAGAAGTAAAAAACTTTTGATTTAATTGTTTGAATTAAAAAAAAATGAAATTGAAGGAAATTTCATATAGAAAGTTGTTTAGAAATTAAACATATGTTTTATTCCGTCATTTTTGTGAATTTGGGTAGGGTGTAAGAGAGGAAAGTTTGATGCACACAGTTGGGCAAAACCTATGTTTTGGTGTCACTGAATCTGCTTTTCACTGAAAAGTTTTGATGAAAAAATTTCTTCCAGGCCTACTGTCTATATCTGCAGTATACGTACAACCAGTCTGCGGACTGAAAGCCAACAGTCCTCTTCCCCATGACCTAATTAATCAGTTGATGTCTGCAAAATAATGTCAAGATGTACATTATGAGCTATAATTATATCAATATTGAATTTCAAAGTATTAAACAGATCATAAACGTGTCTTCATTTTCCAAAGGCAATAAGGTTTTGTTCTGTTTTTCTCCAGTACAAGTACAAGGAATCCTATGAGAAAGAAAAAGGCAAACACGTTGGATTCCGTAGCCTGCAGGATGATCCTAAACTGGTTCACTATATGAATGTGGCCAAAATGCAGTCAGAACGCGAGTACAAGAAGGGTTATGAGAGCAGCAAGACAAAGTACCATACGCCACTAGATATGTTCAGTGTGACAGCTGCTAAGAAAGCCCAGGAAGTTGTTACAAATACCAACTACAAACAGCTACTACACAACTACACACTTTTGCCTGATGCTATGAATGTGCAACTATCAAGAAACATGATGCAGATTCAGAGTGATGTATGTAATGTTTAGTTATCTTACCTTTATTTCACTGTAACTATGTTGCCAAAAAGTTGATAGTCAAGGCAGACTAAGGCAGGATGGAATAAACAGGTGTTCATTTTGGGGCCCTACATTTTTGAGAGAGTTATAGTGATTATATATAGTGGATGCCAAGATACTCCTTCAGCAAACACCCCCCAGGTCTAAATATTAAATACTTCCCAGCAAAGGAACCTATTTTCTGATCATAAGTACATTTTTGGGGATGGTTATTACTTCCTAATTGTATTGTAATATTACTGTTTATTATTTGAATAGTGGCAGCACCTAAGATTTATCTATAAAACTGGATATAATACTGTTGTATAGTTTAGAGTCCTAGTTTTTGTTTCCTTCCTTCCCTCTCATTCCTCAACGCCTCAGAGAGATTTCATAAATAGAACACTGGATGGATTTCTTCTGATGTGCCTCATCTCCGTTACTCCCTGCTGAAATACATAAAATACCGTTTTTCTTCGCATCCTCTTACTTCATGTTATTTTAGGGCAGATCCTGAAGTCCACTAAAGATGATGAAAAATTTGCCTGAGCAATGATTTTTATTATCAGGCCCTAAAGAAGAAATTGATGAAAAGATAGAATTGCCGAGAGCAAATTAAGTACAAATATCAACAAGATATTTATTTAAGAATTAATTATGCTTCTTTTTCAATTTTCCAACTTTCTCACATTTTGCCCTTGAATGTGTGTGGTTAGCTTCCAGTGGGTGATCTGCACATGAATCGGACTCGGGGACTGCCTGTATATCCTATGCTTTTGAAAAACATGAGTGAGCACTGATCATCTTTACTCATATTTTTCTTTCAACAATGACCAAGAAAAATATAAAGGCTTTACTTCTTCTTGTGTGTGGAAATTCTGATTTCTCTTACTTCCTTTAACTTTTCTGTTTTTTTTTAAAGACTCTTTACAAAACAGACTTCAATAACTGGCTAAAAGGAGTTGGTTGGCTACCAGCTCAGTCTTTGGATGTGGAGAAGGCCAAGAAGGCTACAGAGATTCTCAGTGAAACGAAATATCGCCAGCACCCAGATAAGCTAAAATATTCCATTACAACTGATGCAATGGAGCAGGTGCTGGCTAAACAGAATGCCCAGATCATGAATAAGGTGAGAATTTGCTCAGGGGGACCTGGGTTTCAATATTAATGCCTCAGTCTTGCAAAGTGAAACACACTGAAGTCACTGGGGTTCAATATAGGTGCATGGATCTGCCTGGATGTATCACTTGGTAAGACTGGAGCCTAAGCAGCATAATAAAATATGTACTGCAATTTGCAGTAAGAGCAAGATTATAGTTCTGTGTTTTGTTTGAATGAATGAGTGTCTCCTCCCCATATGTACAGACTGCAAGCAACTGTCACTTTCTTTTGTGTGGGAAATAGCATTAGTAGTGAATGAACTGCAAAAGCGTTGGAATTCTGATTCACTTTGGATAAGCATACCCTGAAATGAGTCTTCTTCTCTGAAGCTCATCCACAGCAAGTAGGAACACAATCACATCACCCTGCCAACTGGATTATGAATAGGTAGCTGAGCACACAGAATATGGGAAAACAACAGGCACATTGAAAATCCCCAGTTACAGTTTGTTGACTAGGATGATGTAATTTGCATAATTTATGGTAAGAAGTGCAAAAGAAAGATGAGGAAAATTGTCACTGCACTATAGTTAGTTTTTTGTAAAGGTTGTTAAACTTATGAAGTTTTGTGTTGCAGAAACTTATTTAGCTCGCATGAGTAAAAGGAAAATAATCTCTTGTTTTATAATGAATTGCAATGCCTTTTTTGATTGTTAAATATCACTTTGTAATTGCAGAGGCTCTACACTGATAAATGGAACAAAGAGAAGACAAGCATTCATGTTATGCCAGACACTCCAGAAATTCTGCAGTCAAGAGTGAACCAGATCACCATGAGTGATGTAAGCTAACATTATCCTGCTTAGTGTCCGTTAAAAAGTCTCTCCTAAAGCGGTGCCTTTTATAGATCTCATTTTACAATATTCAGATGCAAGGTTATTAACATTTCCATCTTTATAACAAAAACTTTGTGACATTTTCTGTGTTGTATTAGAAATTATACAGGGCTGGCTGGGAGGAAGAGAAGAAGAAGGGTTATGACATGCGATCGAATGCTATCCCAATAATGGCAGCCAAAGCCTCCAGAGACATCGCAAGTGACGTAAGTTCTCCTTTGAGATTGCACTTAGGTAAAATTACCATAGCAGCATAACGTAAGAGGAATTCAGGCTGCTTCACCTCTAAAACAAAAGAAATTTGGGCTGGTTCCAACCATAAAGGATATCTATTTCTCCATTGGCTTTTGAAGCCTCGTGGACAATCTAGGTTTGAATTACATGCTTGTTGTGGTAAAGCTTGGAACAGTTCTTGATCTGAATATTTATTTCATAAGCCTCCAGTGCCGTGGTCACCAACAGGTCGATCGCGAGCTACTGGTCGATCTCGAGGCCTCGACCAGTAGCTCGCGAGGCGTCCTGTCCGCCCCGCCCCCATTTCCCTCCCACCCCCCAGAAGCCCCACTACTTATCTCCAGAGGTAGTGTCGGCTTCAGAAGTCCCGTGGCTTAGCGCCACTTCCGGCAATGCCAGAAGTGCGCTAGCTGCTCTGCTGGACCCCTGCACCACACAGGAGGGTGAGTCAGCCCTGCGGGAGGCGCGCAGAGGGTTTCCGGCAGGCGCGGGGGGTTGGCCCCGGGGCAGGTGTTTGCGCGGGGCTTCCCGGCGTGGGGGGCGGGGCGGTTGGCCCCATGGGCAGGCGCGCGCGGGGCTTCCCTGCATGGGGGGGGGCTGGTGCTGGCCGC